AGATGGTATGTCTGATAAACACTTTAGAAACCATGCATGGTATACCCAGAAAGTATTTTCAGACATCACCCACTGCTGCTGCAAGATAATAGTTTAAAAAATCTTTCTTGCCATTCAAAACTTCCAAAGAACGAGTCCATCACTGAGATCTAAACAAGCAGTGCTTCGCTGCAAGATGTCGGCAGAAAAAATTAAATACCATACATACAAAATTAAAATTCTAATCGGTAAATTAACCTCGGTTTCCAAGGAATGAAAAGATAAAAGCTATCTGAATCATTAAAGAAGTGTTGAAGCTGTTGGCGTGATTCTACCATTGCTGAAAGTCGTGAACCAAACTATTAAACACAAAGTTCTGACAAATTATCTTAATAACGAAGCCCCTTATATGGACATCGAATAAGCAGAAAAAAATTATACAAGACTGCTCCTGCTGCTAGAGCAAAAACCGTTAAATCGGGTAGCTGGTCAATTGTCCTAAAAGAAAATTAGAACTGAAGAAAATTTCCTTGCTCATTTATTAAAGGAACAATTTATATCGCATATGCTGCGGAATAATGTTACTTTAACGAAGCAATTTCTGCTGCAAACGCGGTGCTACGGTGTTTTATCTGATCTAGTGGCCATGTGCACTTACACTGCAAGTGCCGCAAAAATCGATGGCAAACTACCTCACCTCATTTGAAATCAGCTGTGGCATGAGACAACGTAATGTCATTTCGTCAATGCTCTTCGACCTTGTCGTCGATTGGGTGATGCTATAAAGCGCTGACGATTTCGCTGGAGAGGAAGGTGGGGCCCAAGGCATTCAGTCACATAGCTCATGGATCTATATTGCACAGGCGACATCTTACTGCTCAACTCTTCCAGAGGTGGATAACGGCTATTAATAGAGGTGGCTCAAATCAACACTGAAGGCGAAGAAGACACCGATTCGGTTTTGCATGAAGAAAGACTGGAGAAAGTCGACACAGCAAATACCTTCGCTTTATTGGTACGAAGGGCAAGCGCTGTAGCATGGAAGTAAACAGAAAAACTGATTCAGCAGTGGAAGCATCATCAGAGCATTCAGCTGACAACGAAAATAAAGATCTTCACGTAGTCTATCGTGTCCAACTCACTCTAAAGCTTTGAAACGGCAACCCTGCTGAAAATAGATCACAATCGTCTAAGCGCCTTCCAACAATGCTGTATACGATACATTATCAACTTTCGATGATTTCAATGAATAACGAACCAGTAGATATTGTCGTAACCGAACTGTGGAAATTACCTTCGTTGCTCTAAGAAAAACGAATTTCACATTATAAGAATAGCATGTGCAAAAGAGAAACATCAGTCGCTCAAAGAATCCTAATATGGAATTCAAATCATGGAAAACGTTGAATCTGAAATGACCCCTTTGAGGTAGACTTGTAACTGCTTACGAGAATTTTAGAACGCCTAAAAACGACTATGTCTGATGTCCGTCGCTAATGCCGGAACTTGACCATCAGTCAAACACGCTTTAAAAAAATTTTCTATAAATATTGTGTATTATTACTTACTGAAAGAATATAGATTACTTGTTGAGAGAATATGGTTTGTGCAATATAATAGGTGCGCAATACTCACGGGCATAGTCTAAGTAGGACGCAATTTATCACTGATATTTTCAGTAGCGGAAATCCTCCAAATGACTAGTTCTTTTGGTACTGTCGGTGTCTGGCTAAGAATCGCTTCACAGCAATTAAGCAGCTCAGCAATTAGGAAGCTCTTAGCGATTACGTAGTTTCGACAGTTGAGCAGCAGGGTTTTAAAGAGGTATAACTGCCATTTAAGTAAATTCAATTTCTTAAAAACGATTAAAATGGTAATTACAGGCGAATGGATTTTGTCTTATTAACGACAACCGCGGTTCCGCTCTGGTCGACGTTGTGGTCCAAGCCAAAGAATGCGCCGATCCGATGAACCAGCATTCGGTTGTACGAGCTCATTGGAGGGAAACGATGGACCTGCTTACTGAAGATGAAGAAAACATGCGATTAGTGAAAGATAAAAAACAACAACAAACAAGAACCTTGCATCTTGTACAAAAGTGATGAGCTCTTCTTCGAGGTTCAGTATCATCTGACGGTCTTTAGCATTTTTGTGAAGAGTAGCGATGATGAAATCTTCCAGGTTGATTCCCGTGGAATCGGTGTATAGCTCGCTGCTAGAATCTGAAATGTATCATATGATACACCTGATCACATCGCTGTTTCAGACTCTTCATTAAACATTACCTCGAGATATACCGGAACTGGAATTGGAGCAACTTTGTTTTTCCTCTCGCAACGGGCTCAAGCGCGTGTCATCGTCGCCACACAAAGCGTGGCTCCTAACGAGCGTTTTATATTTACACTTCTTAAAAAGGAAAAAAGTAGTAGCTAAGACTGCACCACCATACCTTTGACCTTTCGTCGTTCTGAACTTGCGACAACGTCTTGCTATCCTTAAAACGAAGGCCAATCAAGCAAAATTACAAAAGCAACATTCATCACTGACGGAACACGTATAACCACTCAGCAAACACATTTCTCATGTACAAATAAAAAAATAAAATGAAAACAAAATCATCGCCTAAAAGATTGGGTACGTGATATTTTTGTCATAAAATCAGATCCTAAAAAAAAGTAAATCAGTAACGATAAAGAAATTCAGTGGCTAACAAAAAGACAAAAAATTCATAAGACTGATCACATAAAGAAGAGTATTGTAAATTTGTAAATTTGTAAATTTTTGCCATCATTTCAAACGATATAAATATGTATTCCATACTGATGC